TTTTTAAGTGGGAGAACTTGCACAATTGGTGGCTGACTAAATACTTTTTTGCCCCACTGTACATCCTAAATGATGCTGAAACTCAGGAGAAAGAGGCAACATGAGGCAAGAGTTCCCCCCAATGGGAAAACAAACCACCAACAAAATCTGCAGCGTTGCAATGAAATACCAGCTTTGTTCCACTTTCAGATATACTGGTATCAGAATAGGGGAAAAAATTACTTAGCTCTTGAATACCAACAACATTAAGGGAAAACTGGGATTCAGAGCCAAGTCTGAACTGATGCAACATCTGGTACAAGGTGATTACAAGTCACTTGCCTCTTCCCCCCAGAGATACCCATGGGAAAAATAGGGCATGTAGAAGTACTCTTATAAAAATAGTAAATTGCCTATTACTAAATAAAACATCAATTCTTAGGATTCTATAGTATTTACACAGCCAAGTATAAGGCAAATTAATGAATATGTTTCTTCTTGGACTATTCTCTGCAAGGATACAAAAGGTCAAAACTCTCTCTTTTGATGAACCAAAATATGCAATCAAGTCTTCCTTCTGCTTCATGTGCATTTTACCATCTGCATGGGAATAACGGTCAGTGATAAACTTCTATTTATCCGCCTCAAAATAAGTAGAGGCAAAATTACAACCAATAAATGCCTCTAGCATTTGAAGGTCAATATATCTACAAAACAGAGAACAGCAAGCTTGCACACTTCAACTTTTTTGAATAAACAGACAAGTTTCCATTTTCCATCCAAGAGTATACCATTTTCATTATACAGTTTACAGTATTTTCAGTTCGTTTTTGTAAGAGTTCTGGATACTTGATTGTTAAACTGCTTCTTGATTGCAGTACTCTGGATGTTCTGATTGTATATTATACAAGTTACTTGCATGTATAATGCACTAATGTCATCAAATTGTATTATCTATCCAGGCCCACCTTTTATTTCCTTACTTTACTCCAATGATTTCATTGAGAAGCAGTTTTATAACAATTAATCTGTCATATGAACCTGCTACCCAAATTTCTATTTTCCTAAGAACTAGGGAATTTTTTTTCCTTTGAGGCAGAGGTATTAATTTGTGATAGCAAAAGCCATTATACAACTTCAGTCACTTATCAGACTGATTTGCATTCCTGACAATCAACATATCACACAGTAAGAAAGTGGCAATACTGTCATAGTTAATGAGTCCTGAAGGAAAGAAACAAATTATAACTGTTAAGCAGTGCTGATATTTTTTCAGAGCCACATAAACTATATTTCACTGTACTGTATGTACACTTGGTTTACCTCTTCTCAGAGCTACCCAGATTAGCTAGGTTTATCTAGGCTATTACAAAGTCATTGTGAAAAAAATCATGTTCAATTATGATCTTAACTAATTGTGACATTTAGCAATATTTCCTTTGTGCTGAAAATTTATACACACTTAGAACTTTCAGTAGTACTAAAAATGCAGGAAAGAGATAAACAATCAAAATTTTTAGAATGGTATAGTTTAATGTGATACTGTTTCCACTGGAGGAAGATGACAGGCTATCATAATGTACTCCTGGTTTCAGACCTGAAATTGCACACCCAATGGCCAGCAGTTAAGCAGGCTAGAACAGCTTAACTCAGTGTATTAACTGTACCTATTTCAAGATTATCAGAGAGACTCATCCTTTTGTTATATTTGACTCAGATTAATTTACTGTCTCAGCAAATGGCAGCATGTCACTGACCCTGTCTAGGCTCAGAAGCTAAGCCAGTCAGGCCAAAGTGCGACTTAGAGAAAATGCCTCAATAGAATACAAGGGCTATTAGCAAAACCCCACACCATGGAAGAAACCAGTAGCAAGCCACTTCCATATAACTTGAAGGATATTTTACTTTTTAACTTGTTCTACAGTATGGATATCTGCTTTTAGAAAGGGAAACTTCTGCTGTTATTTGTATTTTTCCCCTAATCATGAACACAAATTATTGAAATCTGGGGAATAATTACTATGTATTCTATTCACCAGTATTGAGTAATGGGGGGGGGGGGAATTAATGTTAGAAAAAATCCAACTTTTCTAAATCAGAACAATGAATTCAGAAGCCACAAAATCAGTATTCAGTGCTAAATCACTACCCTTCCACAGTTCCAGGGCAGCAAAAGATCACCCTACATCTGCACACTACTATTCCTCCTTTTAATGTGGTTGATACATTATCTGAAATGTTTCACCAATTTACATATGTATGTATATGTATTATTTATATATATGTATGTATGTATGTATAGTTACAGTTTAAATAGTAACACAGAAACCCCTATAAACTAGCAAATATCAAAACCCTGTTTTAAAATCAGGGAAAATGAAGAGCAACCAGCAAAAGATCACCCTACATCTGCACACTACTATTCCTCCTTTTAATGTGGTTGATACATTATCTGAAATGTTTCACCAATTTACATATGTATGTATATGTATTATTTATATATATGTATGTATGTATGTATGTATAGTTACAGTTTAAATAGTAACACAGAAACCCCTATAAACTAGCAAATATCAAAACCCTGTTTTAAAATCAGGGAAAATGAAGAGCAACATAAACTATTTCTAGCTCTATGATCTATTTCCTCTCAGAATACTGTACTCTGTGTTTCCCAAACGGAGGATGGAAGGGGGGTGAGATCCAGACGGACTCGGACTTCCATTTTCACTAAGTGCTGGCCAGCATGAACACTTACTCATACGGCTATAAGAGAGCTGACATCCTACTAATCTGGAGGGCTCACTAGTTTGGAGGAGGCAGCACCTACAACCCTGGCTCAAAATTAAGCAGTTAGATTGAGTTATAAACTAGTCGAAAAAACGTCCAAAAAAGCACTTCGGTAATTGCCGCCAAAAACGTAACATGGATGTGTTCTCGGATCACCAGGAGCCGTAGTCGACTCCAAGAAGCCTATGGCTTCATTTCGATTATCACCCCGCGAAGACAAGACCGTCGGCAGCGGTTGGTTGCCAACGGCTGGCGCCACGTTTCCCGCTGCTACGTGAAGAGATGGAGCCTCTCTTTCATGAATCGTGCCGGTTAGCATCGCGAAGGAAGAACCAAACAAGCGGCAGCTCTTTCCAAATATTCTGACATACCGCTGAATGGTCAGTTTAACATAGCTCTAATCCGCGAAAGGCGCAAGTGAGCCTCAGACATCGGCAGGCGTCAGCGTACGTGCCCAAAGCAAAAGACGAAATATCCCCTCCTCCTGCTCCTCCTCCTCCTCCCCCCCCGGAAACGATTACGCCCGCAGTGTCCGTTGGTTTGAGCGCGCGCGACCGTCCAATCAACAGAGTGAGGAACTGAAGCCGATTCCATACGGAGCGCGAGCTGGGGGGTGGGGGGTATTTTCAGGCGCGACCTAAGTCAGACGCGAGACCCGCGCGAACGGCAGGCATGACGCAGTCCGTAGTAGTCCAGGGTGAGCGTGCAAGTAATTCCCTTTCCCCCTAGTCTTTTTTTCTTTAATTTTTCCTTCTTACGGCTCCATGACCGATGTCTCCCTCCACTCTTTTTTTTTCCTATCTCACAATACAGTAGGTCAGTGCGGAAACCAGATAGGCTGCCGCTTCTGGGATCTGGCGTTACGGGAACACGCGACTGTTAACAAGGTAATAAACCCCGCCCCTTAAAAACACGCGGCACGCCCACTACTGTGAGCGCGTGCGTAGTTATGCCGCTGAAGGGTTCCTTTTCACCCCCTTCCCTTCTGAGGTGGCGCATTGTTTAAAAAAAAGAAAAACACCGGGGCTTTATTCCCTTGTTTTGCCATTATGGTCCGGCCGCGTAAGACCACAGCAAATACTGTACCCACTCGGAGCGCAGCAACAAAGAATCCCTCCTTTGTGGCGGGGTAATTGTCGCATCGCCATCATTCTCAGCGCCACGGTGAGGCGCTGCAGCCCTTCTGTTGCCGCGGTTTTGTTCTGCCGCAGTTCTGTTCCGGCGGCTGGTTACTGTGGTTACGGTCCCGCCCGGCGTTCTGTTGTCATGGATAAGGCGGCATGACTACGATTCCAGTGACGTTCTGGAGTTCCCCGACAAACCGTCACGTGGAATGTGATTCCAATTAAAAACCATCAACTCCCTTTTACTTTGAGGGCGGATTGGAAACTTTCTCCTTCCCTGAGTAACACGGCTTCGCGCGGATGCACCTCTTTGATTATAGATTATGTGCCATCAAGTCGTTTTCGGCTCCTAGCGACCACATAGATGTTCTCCGTGATGATCTGTCCCTAACCTGGTCCTTCAGGTCTCAATGGTGTACTCATCACCACTGTAACTGTGTCCCTCCACCTTGCTGCTTGCTGCCCTCTTTTCTTTCCTTCCACCTTTCCCAGCCTTAGAGCCTTTTCCAGAGAGCTAGGTCTTTGCATAAGGTATTGGAAGTAGGATAATTTGAACTTGATTATGTGTGCCTCAAATGAGAATTCAGGATTGACTTGTTTTATGATCCATTAGTATGTTTTCTTGGCTGTCCACAGTATTCTCAGGAGTCTTATTCAACACCTTTGAATAAGTTCAAAATGTACACCTTTTTGCCCCATGGTATTTACCAAAAGCAAGATACACGCATTACGGTTTTCTTAATGGTACTTTTTTGTTACCTGCAGTGGAAATCTGGAGAAACCATCCATAAATGAAAACAAGAAATAATGTGAGACAGGGAGTGTAATCAAGATCCATTATATCTGATTTGAAGGTCTGTGGGAGGAGGGGAGGCAGTCTGAACTTATATAAATTAAAGGATAGGTTATACTTGGAAGCACTATTTCTAGTGTATTTATATGTGATGGTATGAAATAGATTTAGAATCAGAAAAAAATGCTAGGATCTACAGCAGGCCTAGCCATCATAGAATAAGGATGAAGTGAGCTGTAACTCACGAAAGCTTATGCCTTTTTAACAAATTTTTTTCAGTCTGAAAAGGTACTACCAAACTCCTCGGTAGTATTAATTATTTTAATTCACAATATTATAATATCCCAGATGTGTTGGGATATTACAGTTGTGTTATTCATGCTTTTGAATGATACTGGTAATTTGTCCTTTCTCATTTCTTCAGATAGTTATTAACATAAATTCTACTGTAAGATTTTGGGTGTTCAGTATGACTTTGAGCCTTGGTATTTATTGCCTTACAAATTCATCTGTCAAAAAATCCAAAGCCATCTTGCAGCATTGTAGTTGAAATAATTTAGGGAATGTATCTGTCTAAGATAACAAGATATACACATTATGTGTTCTTTGAATCATAAGGATGATTTTTGAAATACAATAGGGAGTATAATCTCAAAAAGTTATTTTTAAATATTTATGCTATAAGTTATAGTGCAGGTTCCAAATTCAGTTTTTACTTACAAAGGTGTTTTTTTTTTAATTTTAGAAAGGACTTTATGATGAAGCATTAAGCAGTTTCTTTAGAAATGTGAACACTAGGTAAGTTTCTTTGGGTAGTAATATGTTATGTGAGACACTTTTGCTTTTAAAACTGTTTGGTGTGTGTAGAGAGATTCTTTTGTACCAGGCTTTGCACTGCTGGAAGCTAGTTAGCATTTTGTCCAATCTCATGAAAGATAAAGTTCTGGCATTCATGGTATGGCTTTATGGTTCACTGTATGTCATTGATGTTGTGTATGTAATCTGCTCGGGTACATAATCCTGAGTAGACTCAGTGATTATGAGCGACTCAGTGGGGTTTACTTAAGTGAGTATAGAATTGAAGCTTGTATCTGTTCATCTTTGGTGTTTGTAAATATGTGAAATCCCAGAGATTCTATAATGATACTCATGTCAACTTGTTGCAGAATTAAAGTATGTTACAGCATTGTCATTATTTTAACTGGGCTGTCTGACCGTATCATAGTTCTTAGTACTTATTGTTTTAGAATAATGCCACAGTTCCATTTATCAGTTTCAGAGCTATTAGGTCTGAGCTGGAAAAATCCAGATGGCCATAAGTTGGCAGCAAAGACTCGGGCGGGGGGGAGTTTACTATATCCCTTTGCTGCCATCACATGGTCATCCAGATTTTTGTAGCTCAAGTTTCAGTTGTTATCCTCCATGGCCTGAGCAAACAAGCCTATGCCCAAACAAGATTTCCGCTGCTTGCACAATGTAGTTGTATCTTTTTGGTTTGCCAGTATATTGAACTGCTGTAACTCCATCACTTTATCAAGTTGCACTGAAGAAAAACCTCTTATTTGGCTCATTTAGTCTTCCAGTGTTATCTTATTGAGATCCTACTGAAAGGATTACATATGCCAAGGATCTTTTTTTCTTTTTTAGTATTTATGTTTCTTTATTTCATATTAGGAAAAGTTTTTTTCAGTTTTTATGTGTTAGTGTTTCTCTTCTATAAAATGAGAAAGTGTGATGTTACCTGCAAAGGCAGGCTTATCCTTATCCATGATTATAACTAACTGACTTCTGATTTTTCTAGAACAGATGGTGACAGTGCTGACATTTCCAGAAGAAAAATCTGTTCCTTGAAAGCACGCGTAAGAGGGGAAAATATTTAATTTAACCCATTCTTTTGCTTTGTAGACTATAAAATGTTCTTAACTTGGAAAGTTGTATTATCAAATATATTTACCCTGCAACTATACAAAATAATATTTATAGAGTATCAATTCATTTAGGAATATGATTAGTTAAACAAGGTGAGGCCTTTGTGCCATTCAGCTTTATATTTTGTAAAGTTCTATATATTACCAGCTCATATTTAGCTCCCATTTTCAAATAGATAGGACAGGGAATGCAATAATCCCCTTGAAAAGTGAACTATCAGAAGGAATTTTACTGTGCAGGTTGTAACACTGTTATAACAGGTCAAATATAAATTCTGTCTCACACATACACACATGCATACACACAGTGTAGGATTAGCAATAAAGTAAGTAGTTCATTTAGTTATTAATATTTAAATATTTAGTATTATATATCTACTATAATTTCAAAAACAATTTTTTTCAATAAATTTATTGTGAGTATAGTCTGAATAGGAAATTGAAAAAGGAAAATAAATAACCCCTTTGCAGATAGGATTACAGAGAAAAATCTGCCTGCACAGATGCCTCCCTTGATCAAAACTGTCTGTGATGGTTGCTAGATAGTTTTTCCCCTTTTACATTCAGCTGTCAGAAAGTGTTGATATACAATATCAAGAATCAAATTTGTTTTTCCTGAGCAGTTTTGTCTTATTTAATGGATATTTAGTCACTGCTAAAGTACTCTTGGTTTGAATATCATTGTTAAAACTGCAAGGCTTGATCAGAGATATTTCAAAAAACTGATGATGCTGGGGCTTAGAAAATATGCTTGTTGAGAAAAGATCAGGTTTATATATCCAGTTATCTAAGACATAATAGCAAGCATTTATTTTAGTAAGACCATATCTTTTCAGTATAAAAGTTACAGTTATTATTTGTGTATGTAAACAAATGTGTACATTTAATCCTGGAGCTATTTTAAATCAGGGTAATTGAAATTAAATTTTCATTTTCATCTAAGAGTATTTTTCTGGGCATATTTTTTCTGGAGTCAACTTTTTTAATTAAAAGTGTATGTGAAAATTAAACAAAGCAGATCTCTAGTTTATTTTTATGTCCTGTTTGTAATGGTATACTGACTGTGAGTCTAAATTATTTTTATTCTGCTCCCTAAGGCTCTACTGATTGACATGGAAGAGGGTGTGGTGAATGAAATTCTTCAGGGGCCATTGAGAGAAGTATTTGATAGCAAACAGCTGATCACAGATGTTTCTGGCTCAGGAAACAATTGGTAAGAATAAATTCAGTTTCATAAAATCTTCAAGCAGATTCTTTTTTTAAAAAACTACAAATTCAATAGAAATGGAAAAGAAAACTCTTTTGCCTCTATCTTTTGCACTTTCTGCAATCCCTGCAATAAATAAGGATATTAAAATGAGCATTCAAACCACAAAATAATAATTGTTCTGCCAAATATTTCATATCTTCTGTGTCTTTCTTCCTGGAGTTTGCATGCTTCCATAAATAGATGTATCATGTTTTTGCTTATAATTGTATGGACCTATTCGTTATAATTCTTTGTATCCCAATGTTCGGGATATAAACCTTTACATGATGGCTTATCAGAATCATTCCAATAGGACAGTTGGTAGTAAATAGCCTGTGAGGAGAGGAAACAGTCCAGATGGGACAAGAGCAGTCAGTTTGCCTGCCTTTTGAAATACCTCTCCTGGGACAGTTGGTAGTAGACGGCTTTGTGGGGAGGGGGAATCCAGCTGGACCAGGTTCTTGTGTCAGTCACATGCTCATCTGTTCCTAACTGCTGCCACCTCATTCCATTTGGTCATCTAAGAACGAATTGGAGCAGGTGACCAAAGAGAAGAGTTAGACCTTTAAGCCCCCAAAATCCCAAGTTCATAAAAATGCTCTTAAGAGAGATTTCAAATTACACGGAAGTTATGTAAATATCAAAGGTACCAAGGCATAAAGCAGTGCTAATCTTAACCAGGAAAGAAGGAGGGGCATCATAGACAAAATGCTCAGAAAAGTGATTGGTTGATTATGCAGTCATAAATATTTGTAAATAAAATAAATGATGTTTATCTCTGAGACCAATTTACAGACTAAATGGAAGTTAAAAACTAGCAATGCTGCTAAAATCTGTAGTTATCAGATTTGGAACACTAATATGCCTGGTTAGTAATATTACTTCAGTTCAAATAACGGCTCAAAATGTAAACGAATGTTTTATATTTAATCAGAATCCATGTTTAAGTCTGTTTTTGTCCCAAGTCATAGTCACCTTAAGGGTAATCTTTTTCAGGCTCCAGGATCTATGGGCAAGTCCAGAAAAGTTCCTGGCCCTGATAGGAGCAAAAAGTATGATGTGTCATGTTTGACCTGCTCTGATCAGACTTGATGAAGGTCTCCACTCCAGTGACCCATAGTTTATTAATTTAAGAAGTTTCTGTAATGAGAATTTTTTTCTGGGCAACTCCCAGCAAAATTAAAAATACAAAAAAGGGACAAGTTCAGCAGATAAAATCATGTAAGGAAAGGGATAAGTCTGTGAAAATTAATCAGCCAATTGCATACATCATCTTAAGTTGCATGTGAAGGCTAGAAGAGTGTGGATGAGGAGTGGTTTATTGGCATCAATTTAACTGTTCCATGCTGGTTTATTGTTGTTTTTTTCCATTTCAGTGATTTTTTTTTTCTTCACGGTGGTAAAGAATGCCCTTAAACAGACAAAAATGTAGCCATTTCTATCTGTGTCAGCCAGCTTTTGCCCTTGCTGGCTGTGTAGTGGGAAAAGCAAACCAGTGGGACCAAAAGAGGAGAAAGGGGCTGAGAGGCTTCCTTCCATCCACCATACTGCATGTGCTTAAATCTGAATCCAATGCATACGAGCGCAGAAGATGTCAGCACTAGAACAGGATAGCATATTAAAGGTCTTTTATTTTCAGGGCTGTGGGTCACAACGTGTATGGATGTCAGTACCGAGAGCATATTACTGAAAAGTTGAGGACTAGTGCAGAGCACTGTGACTGTCTGCAATGCTTCTTTGTCATTCATTCAATGGGAGGGGGTAAGTATTGCTCTAGTCCCACAGCTGTAGCCATGAAGGTGACATGAAGGAAAACTTACATATGTATACTCCAATAAGAAATGTCCATTTTATGCTGTAGTGTTTGAAAGAAACCTCTGACTTCTGAGAGTTGAATACAACATCAGAGTTGTTTTTCTGCTTGCTGTAAGCAAGCTTTTTTTTCAGGTTCTTTCCATTTTCACATAGCTGGTCATGTTATTGGAAGTATTGTTGCACTGGGCAAAGTACACCAATTGTTGCTTACAAATATTCTGTAAAAACAATGCAGTAATCTAAAAAACTCACTACATTGAAAACAGAAATTTAAAATAAATAAAGGAGATACCCTGCAATGTTTCATTGACTTCAAAAAGTGTATTCATTAAAAATTATTAGTGGATCTCAGTGGAATTTTTTAAATTTACATTGTCTGGGTTTATCTACTTTACAAAAGTTGCCATTAGCTTACTTTTAAGTCCTTTGACACAGTATATGAGAGTTCTTGCATTTCATAACGCCACTGAACACAAGAAAAGTTCTGAGATGTAAGATTCTGGGATTAAATCATCTCCACTACCATTTGTGCATATTTAGGGTCTTCAAGAAGGAAGAAAGGTTTGTCTGTTTCATGTGCAACAAAATATGAGCTGTCACCTTGTCCTCTGAATACTTTGCATAGTACTAAACTCTGAACACAAAGAGAAGCTGTCACTGTATGTTAGCTCACAGTGAAGCAGTTCATGAACACTTAAGTAGTTTAATTGTGGTCCTCTGCTGTTATCATAATAATGCAGAGCTTTTCAAACTATTCCGCAGAACCCTGGAAAATCTGATGGGGTTCCATGAGAAAATAAGGGCCAAAAAAAAAGTTCACTCAAACACAGACAATTTTCTCACTAGAGCTTTGCCTCTCAATAAGGAAGTCTTGGATTTTTTTAAAAAAACAGGTTTCACATCCTGTTTAGTTAAGGGATGTATATTCTGTGAGTTGCATGAATATCACTTTTGCAAAAATTAAGGATGGGAGACAGTGTGGCTTCAAGTCTGACTGTAAACACATACATATCCCTCAAAGCCTAAAAAACAGGCCAAATCAAGCTGTGAAATACTGTATGGACATTTTGGTACCAAATCAGTAGCACAATTCTCGGGCCTTCCCCCCCCCCCCCGCCAACTAGGGTTTTTGTTTTGGTTGTTGTTTTCAAAGAATGAGAATGGAAGCTGTTTGTCTCCCAGAGGCCTCCTGCTATCATTCCCACATTTAAAAATATCCACAAAAGGTGAAAGCTTTATTGCGGGGGGAGGGGGTACTGCAACCAAAAGCGTTTCAGAACCCTGTCTTTCCATGACAGAGTCTTATTTAGCCCTCCAAGCAAGCAAATAATTTATTGAATAAGTCTCCAGACATTTCAAGTATGCTAAAGGGAACAACAACACATACATAGATCTTAAAACACAATATTGTTATTAAAGCTAAAATTAATACATTACAAACGTTAAAATTTAGATCTAAAGCCTTTTAACCTTTGTGACTTAATACTTTAAAATGTTTAATAAATTAGAATAAAAACATAAATTCTTCTAGTCCCACTCCTAGAAGAGAAAGAACAAAACAATCCAAAAGTATATGGCAGAGTAATTCAGATTTCTTCTTTCCTTGTATCATTTTAAGAGTAGTTATAATATCATAATAAGAGATTTCATTGTGAAGTGCCACCTTAAGAGATCAGAATAAGTTTTCCAATAGATGTTAATTCCAACAAATTGTGTAAACATTGATTTTGAATTTTTAAAAAACATCATAATTTATAAGAAATCCAGAATACCAAAATACACTTGTCATTGTAGCTATTTTCTGACTTCTTCTAGGAACAGGATCTGGTCTTGGTACATTTTTACTAACAGTCCTTGAAGATGAATTTCCAGAAGTATATAGATTTGTGACTTCAGTTTATCCATCTCGTGAGGACGATGTCATTACATCTCCATATAACAGTGTGTTGGCTATGAAGGAACTCAGCGAGCATGCTGACTGCGTATTGCCAATTGAAAATGAGGTAAGCATTTGTCAGGTCCTGAGAATTTACATTAGAAGCATAGTTCTTTTCTGTCTTTCATATAATAATAAACTTTACAGTACAAGTGCTGAACTGATAGCTCCTGCCTGCTTTTTCTGTTATAGAACTATTCCAAGTCAAGACCAGTGACAACTTTGCTTTTTAAAGTGAACAGAAAAGCCATTTTTACACTTTTTTTTATAAAAACAAAATATTTTCTTCTTAAAGAAGTATATGACCAATATGTGTACACTGTATGTACATGTGCATGTTTTTCTGCTGTTTAACAGGAATTAATGGCTTTTTGTATCTTTTGTATCTTTTGCTTAGTTCTCTACACTGATTTAACATATGTTTGGATGTTAAATTTATGAAGCATCTTGAAACTTTTTAATTAAAAAAATGGTTTATAAATATTTTAATAACAGCGTTATTGTTTACATGTATATCCCATCTCTAGGAGCCCAAGGCAGTATAAATACCGTTCTCCTGTTCAATTTTCCATTGTGAATTTGGGCTGAGTGATAGTGACAAGTTCAGTCACCTACTGAACACCCACAATTGATCTTGGATTTCCCTGGTCCTAGTCCAGCCCCATAATTGAAAGCATTGTCTGGAGTATCATAAGCCCTACTGATTTCATGGAGCTACTCTAAGAATAACTAAGTCTGGGTCCAGTCCATTGTAGTTATGCTTGCTTTGTCTCTTAAAGTTTAAATGTATTTGAAACAAATTAGAAATATAATGCTGCATTCCTGCATTGTGGTGAACTTCTTTGAAAATATCTTTACTTCTCAGTGGACTTGATTAGGATTGTACACTAATCACTGACTTTGCATAACTTAAATAAGATTTTTTTTCATTGTTTTTTTCTTCCAAAGTCTTTATTTGACATAGTTAGTAAAATTAACCAGATGACCAACTCCGGAAAACTAGGATCAACTGTAAAGCAAAGCAGTTTGGTGACTTCGAGTGCAGGGGGAATAAAACATCTTCAAGAAAAACCGTTTGATGCTATGAACAATATTGTGGCTAACTTACTGTTGAACTTGACCAGGTAAACTTTTAAGCCTTCTAATAAGAAAATAAATTATACTAAAATATGTTATCATTTTGGAATAAAGCTTTTGCACTTTTTCTCAGGTCAAAGTCACTTGCCTATTTGCAAGTAGCCTTCCCCCTAAAAAATGATGGGAGTTATGTGAAAACTTTCAAGGGCCAGGTGCTAGGAGTGGAAGAAAAAGTTAAAACAAATAGTTGCCAAGCCATTAAGCACCCTATCAGCTAAACCGCAAGGATAAAGTTCCTTCTCCCTGTCGGTGCCCTGTTTGGCTTTGAATGGCAAGTTTTAAACTTTGATTCTGCAGCTCTCTGTGTAATATGCTAAATATAATAGGCTTCACCACAGAACTGTTGCAGCACATCCCTGTTTAGAATTTCCATTAGCCTGGGTCTTGTAGGAAGGGCAGTCACAGAAGAGAGGATTTTTTTTTCCTTTCCTACCTTTCTGAAATAAGCTATCTGATTAGAGTCTGACAGTTAAATTCAGACTTTTAAAGCACCACATAACATGGCAGAGAAGATTTCAGAGATTACGTATCTCCATCTCAAGCAAAAAAAGGACTTTGTGATCTTACATATCTTTTATATGTTATTTTCAGCTCTGCTAGGTTTGAAGGATCTCTTAATATGGATCTTAATGAAATCAGCATGAATTTAGTTCCTTTTCCTCGACTTCATTATCTAGTTTCCAGCTTGACTCCTCTTTATACTCTGGCTGATGTTAATGTGCCTTCTCGAAGGTAAGTATCTTTGTTCAGCATTGTTCCTAGAAGGGTAACCTGTCAAAGAAAGCATTGTGCTTTGAAGACTCCCAACTCTTGGCTGTTTTGTTTTTACATGTAAATGACAATTGTATATGACCTTGAAAATGAATCTGCTTTGTAACATCCATAGAAAAAAAATTTACTTTGATCAATGATCAGCAGCTTAAATAAAGTATAATTAAAAAGGAAAAAAATAATGCTTAGCCTTGCATCAGCTGTTGCCTGTTTTCATGATGGCAACATAAAATGTAGCCCCTAATGGGTGATAGAAGGTTTCATATCTGTGAGAAGAAGGGTCACATAGTGATTATCCACTCCTCCTGAGTATTGATGCAGCAAGGGAATGATACGACCATTCTGAATGTCCCTATAGAATTTACAATAAAACAGCACGTGGTGAATTTCTATCTCCCTGGATCCATGCAGGCGTTTTTAGAGTACCTACCCTGCAGGAGTGCAGAGGGAAGGATATTGTGTCTAGCCCTAAAAATGCTTTTCTCATCTTGGGGAAGGTAAGAATATTTAACCTAACATTCCATATCACTAATTCTTGAGTGAATATTTAGTCAACCTGTTTGTTTTGTTTTGTTTTTTGATGCCTTCAAGTCAGTTTTGACACCTAGCAATTGCCTGGACAAGTCCCTGCAGTTTTCTTGGGAAGGTTTTTTGGAAGTGGTTTGCCATTGCCTCCTTCCTAGGGCTGAGAGAGCACGACTGTCCCAAGGTCCTCCAACTGGCTTTGTGCCGACGGTGGGACTAGAAATGGTCTCCCAGTTTCAAGCCTGATGCCTTAACCACTACACCAAACTGGCTCTCCAACCTGGTCATACTCCATTAGAAATAATACTGATCACCCCCATGATGCTAATGTTTGTTCTACTGCAACTTTCCAGTTTGAGGAATAATTGTCAACAAAAACTAGAGGCAGTCAACCTGTTAAACTGGATCTTCAGCCAGTAATTATCTATCAGCCTCCAAACCTGTACCTCAATTTTAGGCATCCCTGTCCCAATCTGATCAGGGCATTTGGTTTGTACTCACTTGTCCACATTGTAGGATTTTGGCCAAGGTTTTACCCTTAAAGAATTTTAATACTGCAGGTATTAGTTCTTGAACTTTGGTTTTTAAAAAAGTGCTTTACAGCAGTTGATGATCTTAAAGCCAACTGGGAGATGTAATCCTGGTGTGCATTCTAGGTCCCTTTGGAATGGAGAATCGCCCCAAGATACTTGTGTAAACCTGTTCTATTCTGTTCCTCTCTATAATCCAGCCTTAGTGTTTGCTTTATTGACCAAAAGCTAATACTTTGGATTTTTCAAAATTGAATGCCAGACTATTTTGCTTGCTGCGTTTTTAAGTCTAATGGGGGGTTGCAATATGATAGCAGTGTCATTTGCATAAAGGAGTATTGGGATCTTATGCCCTGCATTTTTAGTAGTATGGAAGTCTGGGTTGGTTAGGATTTCTATCATACAGTTGATATACAGGTTGAACAGAACTGGAGCACAAATATATTCTTGACAATCTCCTCTTAGTATAGATACTATGTCAAAGAGGTCCTTTGTGAATGGCATCTCTTTCTTAAAAAGGACTTAGAGTACAAGTTGTAAATCAATAAAAGGTGCCTATCAACACATTATTTTTTTAAGTTTCTCCCATAAATAGTTCTAGATAATGAGTCAAAGGTAGATTTGAAGTCTAGGAAGGCCATGTACAGGGAGGATCTCTTTTTCTGGGCATATTTCTGTATGAGATGGTATAGTACAAGAATATGATCTACCATTGACTGTCCTTCTCTGAATCTTGATTGCTCATCCTCAGTTACACCTTCCACTTCTATCCATTCTTGGATCTTATAGTTCAGGTCTTTAGCATATTATTTGATTAGCAGCTGGCCAGATCTTTCTTGTTATCCTTTTGTGTATTGATACTATTATTGCTAGTCCCCAATCCTATGGGATGTGATCAGTTTGATTGATGTATGTAAATAGAGATGCTATAAATGGTACCTACCTGTTAGAATTTATTTTCATTATTTCAGGTAATATATAATCAAAACCTGGGGCCTTTCTGACCTAAGGATTGTATTAGTTTAGCTACACCTGTTAGGCAGACATGAGGCCTGCTGTTCAGTTGATCAGAGTCTATATGCTTTTGTTCAGACTATTGTCGGGATCTGCAAACTAAGCTCTAAAATCATGTTCTTTTCCTTTTCAGGGGGATTATATTGTTTTTTTTCAAATTGTATAGGGCTTGGTACCAGGCCTTTCAGTGGTGTTGCTTGTAGGAAATAAAATTCACAAATATTTGCTTATTATTCATAACTTCAGTATAGTTTCTAAAAGCTTGCAACAGGAATATAAACAAAATACATATTTGCCTTATTTGACATATGTTTTTAATGCTGTTAAACAATTTGGTATAATCTTCCTCTTTTCTTAGGTTGGATCAAATGTTTTCTGATGCTTTTAGCAAAGAACACCAGCTGTTACGAGCTGATCCAAGACATAATTTGTACCTTGCTTGCGCCCTCTTAGTCAGAGGAAATGTACAGGTTTCAGATCTTCGTAGAAACATTGAACGGTTTGTACTAAAACATGTTATGAAGAATTATCAACCGCTTCTTCAAAAGACCAAAATATAGCATTTTTGAGATTAGTGTGATCCCTTCCTAATGCACAGTTGTGCCCATATCATAAAGGATTATGTTGCTTGAGAATATAGAGAAATTTGGTAATTAATCTTATATTTTCTTTAATATAATATATGATGCTTGTGTAATGTTAATATCTTTATGTATGTGTCAAGCCCTGCGAGGCTAGCAAACCAGAAAATAAGAATCACTTGGATTTCTGGAAAGATCTTTATTGCTAGGAGGTATTGTATGAATCATAAAAGCCTACCAAAGTCATTATCCTGTAGAATTTACACCTACTGTAATTAAGGCAGAGCTACTCTGAGACTTTTTCTCATGCTTCTCCCCTCCCTGGACTCAAGAATCTGTTTTGTAATAGAGCTGTTTCCTCCCTTAACTGTCTTGCTGCCTCCTCTCTGTTCCCAAGATCTTTTAGGCATTCCATCACAGTTTGATACATGGTTTAGAAACTAGCACACAGAATCTAAAACTCAGATTTAGCATCAATTTTTGGCATATGCTTTTTAAAGCACTTAAATTAAAGAGATAGTTAGAATATGTGTTTATTGCAGCACTAGTGCTGTGGACATCAGTTTAAAATAATTAAATCTGCCACTAATTTTGCTTTGTATGATGGAGTCTTTTCCAACCAAGTACTCTTGAGATATGGTTGTCTAATCTTGTCAATCACAGTCTGACCTTACTGGCTGGAATTATAGTCCATTTGGTGTCTCCCACTTTGGGAAGAATAATGTAGCACTTATTCTACTGCTTGTTATTTTTTCAATCCCTAATTTGCTGGTTGCAGGTTGAAACCTTCACTTCAGTTTGTGTCCTGGAATCAAGAAGGATGGAAAACTGGTTTATGTTCAGTACCTCCAGTCGGCCATTCCCATTCTTTATTGGCGCTGGCAAATAACACTTGCATTAAACCTACTTTCACTGAACTCAGAGAGAGATTCATGAGGTTGTACAAGAAAAAGGTATACCCTAAAATAAGAAGTAATGCCAGTATTTTAACTAGTTCATTTGTAGTTGTGTTATTGTCAATATTGGGAAATCCTCTGTGTCACAAAACCATGCACTCATGTCAGCTGGCTCCCCAGTCCCCAGATTGTGGAAGGATTATAATATAGCTTTGAAAGTACATAAATGGCCAGTTGTCTGCAGTGCAAAGTTATACAATCAGAAATGTGAGAGGAAGGGAACAAAGAAAAAGGCTGTGTGTGTGTGTAGGAGACAGATGATACCCTGGATTTTTTTTTAAAAAACTACATTCCATAGATTTTCCACTATAAGTAGTCATGTGTCCTGTTTACTTTTCAATATTAGAAGAATTGCATTTATGTGGGGTATTTTACTGCATAACTGAAGTAAATACTTGCTTCCGCAGGCTCACCTTCATCATTATCTACATGTTGATGGGATGGAACAGAACTGCTTCTCTGAAGCACTTTCATCACTGTCAGACTTGATAGAGGACTATAATCAGCTTGAAGCTGCTAGCAGGGGACCTGCAGTAGATCCACCAAGACTGAAAATAGTGATGTAGCAATAGAGGGACATAGCAGGAAAAATTCAGTATTGACAATGATGTACACGCAATCCAACCCATGTTGAGCACTGTTCAAGTTGGTTGATTTCAGTAGGAAAAACATAAGAGCAAATTCTAGCTGATAAGTTCTTAACAAATGGTCTTTTGTAACAATTAGAATGACTGTTACTCTTGAAGGACGGTGGAAACATTCAGTCTGCCCAACAGTTTCATAATATATTTTTATATTGAAATTGGATAATGCAAATCTCAACTTCTATACAGTGGAATGCACTTTTGTCTTAAGCACTGTTAATGTTGTATGTATATTTTTGAAATGAACACATGTTGAATATAAGTATTTCTCATGATATTAATACTTTTATATGCAGAGAAATTAAAATACACAATTACATAAAATATACACTGGCATCCAGAATCCAAGTTTACATCCTGTCTCAGCCTGTTGTGCTTCTGTTTACTATGGACTCTGAAGCAGCTACTGAACTTGGCAATATAAAATCTCTAATTAGGGGAAAAAACAGTATTCCCCTTAATGACATTCAGTTTTCCGATGGAAAATTGTGTTGAATTAACCACTTCAACTACACAGCAGTTTGTTTTCCACAAATAAGTTTCCTCTGTTGGTGGATTCTCATTTTATTGAAATTTTGCTGTTGCTGTAAAATGCAGCATTAAAAAGGGCATAAAAGAAAATACCCATTTTGTCCTTGAGATGGGAATCAATATAAAATATATCTATATAATATTTTCTTCCTAGAAAATTATATTATCCATGTAAAGAAGCTTTCATTATCAATAAACATATTGCATTTGGGATATATGCAATTATATTTGCAAGTTTCATGAACATTCATGGATATATACCTACCCAGTGTTGTGGTGGTACCTTCATAAGGACCCTTGAAGGCCTGACCAAGTTAGGAGCATCCTTGTTTAAACAGAATGATCAGTACTGGTTATATATGTCAGTTATGTAGGTATAAGAATGGATTTTTAAGTTAAAAAATACTGAAAGTATTTTAGGATATGCTCTTTTTGTAGCAGTAATACTAATATTGTGAATCCGAATGCAGAAATTTTCCCTTACTGATAATTATGTACTATATTCATCCTTTTGCAAAAGTTACATAAATAGATTTGCTGAGAAGGTCAGAGCTGTTGTTTATTATTTCTGACGTTTAGCAGTCTGGGCTAAAATCTTGATGCTGTGCAAGAATGTAAACAAATTATAGTAAAAAGGGATGGCACAAGCTGCTCTATTCTGGCAAAAGGTCACTGTCAGATAGTAAGCTGGCCACTTTAAACCCAACCACTCTAAAGCAGAAGAACTGTTCAGGAGGTCCAATCCTGGAAAAGAACTTAGAGCAAATAAGAACTGAAATGAATCAGCCTGGGAAGTGAGGATCCCTAAAAAACAGATCTTAAGGAAAAAGAAACTGAATATCTGCTGGCAAAAAGAGAAGAATCCCAATGTGGTTTGCCTCTCAGACTTCAACCTTTTTCATATTCTGGGTTCTAGCATCTTCTAATTAAATCTCCCTTCTATTGGGGGGGGGGAGACATTGACTAGCCATCAGTTCTTATTACACCTCCATGTTGGATAAACATTGCTGTTTAAATCTAAAATAAAAACAATTAGGGGTTTTAGGGTGATAAGGGTTATTATTTATCTATGCATATAAACTGTAAATGAAAACATGAAACGTAACTGTTACAAGGTGTTGTCTTGCTGCTGTTGGTGTTACATATCATGCATGAATGAGAACTAGGAATAAAGGAGAACCACAGCTCCATAAGGTGAGCCAAAAATACCTGTCAGCCACCAGAATAGAATTCCAGATTAAACATCATAACCTGGAGGCAAGCAAGCAGATTTGTTTCATGCCAGAGGATTAATTACAGTTCTGCTACAATTTCAGTGGTGGCTTATCTGCCCTGACTTTGTAGTGTAATGATTCAAAGGCAGGCATAGCCTTGTAACCTGTCCCCATCCCATCCACCTAGTGACATACGGTATTACATCTGTCCAAGCACCACAGGAACAGGAATACTATGAGGCAGGAGGGCCCAAAGATTGGTGAACAAAAGCATTCTGTCACTGGGTAAACTGATTCTACTTACCCTCTCCTGCACTAACCTGACTAGCTTCCTTAAAACTGGAAGACAACAAGGCACGTCCATAGCTGCTCTTTATAACTGAAGCACTTTCCTGTTTACTCTATTGAGAAAACAATGTGAACAACTTTAGATATCTCTGGGTAGTTTGTCCTAGAATAAAGGCATGGGCAAGTGCATTAAATGTGGAATTATTACCCGTGTAATAGTTGCTGACCATGTCCTATTGACCTATGAGATTCACTGCAACAGAAATCCCAATATGAAGTAAAAGCTGTCTAGTCTAAAACCCAGTTCCTTGTTTCTGATTCTATCAGTTACTCCAGTCTAACTGAAATTTATGCATACATACTGCTAGTTTCATTGGATGTTACTCTGATTCACAGCCAAGTGCAATGCAGTTTATCAGAAGTCTGTTGCTTTGCATGAGATGCATTTTTCTATGTGTTTTTGAAAGTGAAACACTGTCTTAAACTTATACAGACACCGGATCCATCCCTGTTTCTATTGCTGCGACTGATGGTGGGGTGGGAAGTGTGACAAGAACAGCAGTTATAGAGCACATGTTCAGGTTGAGAGAAACATGAAATTCTACAGTCCCTATGTCTACAAAAGTGTGCACTATGTATTGTAGTTCTGCTATGCTGTGGACTGAGATTTTGGACTGTTATTGCTAAATGCAAACTAAACTATATGGGTGTGTTGAGTTGTGACAGGTGGACATTTTAAGTTATGCTATGGTAGGTAGATACTTTAAAAAACATACCTACCTACTCCAAAAACATGAATTCCTGAATTTTGCTTGGATTGGTTTTTTTTTAAGTTGTAATAAGCAGACCAAATCCATAATATAAAATGTGTGTGTTTGGGTGCGTTAAAGAGATTTTTCTCAAGCTTACAGCCAGATTGAAGTAAAGCTGTTTTGTTATGTTCAAGAGCTGTGTTGAAATCAGTCCAATAGCTGTTGTTTGCTTCTTGCTCAGTGTAGTTGTAATGCTGCAAATGTGTGGGGGGGTTTTTTATTCACTTCTTTTTATGTGGAGTCCATATTCGCTTCTATTGGTACTTCTTTTTATTCCTACAGTTTAAATACATTCAAAACCATTTAAAAATCATCCTTTTGGTTAATATTTTTATATATTGGGTAGTGAATGGCATTCAGTATGGATGTAGCCACCTTTTTTGTGGCAAAAAAAGGAGGAGGTATTTCCTTCCCATACATTTCTTATAAAAGCCTGAGTTCAGAAAACAAATCTCCTGGATCATTACATATCTTCTGACAAACACAAGACGTAATCCACATCATCTTCCACTTGATGGATGCTTCCTTAGAGCAGTCAAACTGTACCGTAATCATTACAGACTTATTGGGTATGCAGCATCTCTTATCCAGGCAGATTCCACAAAACATAGGTTTGTATATTTGTCTACTTGTACATCCAGAGAAGACTAGTTTCTCAGCTTTAGCAAGTTGAAATGTTGGCCGACATGTTTTTCCTTTTGGAATCTTAAACACAAAAAACAATTAAAATTATGGTCAAAATGCATATTTACATAGTAGCATTTGGGATAGCTTTTTAAATGCCCTTACATCATTTTGTCAACTAAATTTATGACTAGATAGATAGATAGATAGATAGATAGATAGATAGATAGATAGATAGATAGATAGATAGATAGATAGATAGATTTCAAGACATCTGAGTTAGAAATTAATGATGGCTAAGATTCCCCCCAGCTTTGTTTGAGCAGAATGGGCTGTCAGCACAAGAACTCATGCAACTGACATAAAAAACCGACCCCTCTCCCTTAACAATCAATAAAACAAAGGAGGCAGCAAATCCTTAGCTAGATATAATTTGTAGACATAAAAGCTATATAGGAAAAGACCCACAGATTTATCATAAATGAGCTGTTAATCCTGCCTCCCTATTCCTCCACCCCCCTATTTCCTAGCCCGTAAGTCAACTGAATAAAAAATACAACTTGCCCACCTGAAGAGCAAAATTATAGCTCTGCACAAACACATGTATATATAAACCCACACACTATATTTCTTTTTAAGTTATTGTTCAGTAAGCATTTGCTTTCTGATTAAAGAGACCGTTTGAGCCTTACAATTTACCTTCAGAGTCTTTGGAAAATTTGCTTGGCAGGGTTGAATATAACACAGTCTCTTTTCTTTCCTCATTTCACACTTACTGTTTCCATTGGTCACCCTGTCAGAGATGCCAATGCCACAAGTTCGGGAACAAGGTGTCCATGGAGTTGTTTGTATCAGGCACTTCTTTTTCAAAACAAGAGGCACATTTTTGAAAGCTAGAAGGCAGAAATATATTAAAATTTTAATCTACATTTTAAACTAAAGGCTAAAAATATTGAACGATACCTCTAATCAGGCCTCAGTAAGTAAATCATAGTATGATATGGAATACAGATATAAAGCATTTCAGATCCATGTTTTGAATTCCACTGTATTTTAATTACACAAATGAGGTTAAGGTTTTTGCAGAACTGGCCAACGGATGTGTGCCTCTTCAAATTTTACAACACTTTATAGGACCTTGGTACCTCAGTCCCCTGAAACTTGGAGCGTGTTATGTTTCTATCTACTCTTGATCTTAATTCTACATGAACTTGATTTTCTTCAAGAGGATTGGCTTAAAGATTCTGAGCCCTAATGGCTCTGGGTATTAAGCTATTTTTCAAAGTCTCCATTAGCAAATCCTGATGGAGTTTCAGAGGATGACTGACCAGATACAAAATGCGCACAGCTCAGAGGACAAAGCGGAAGAGCCAGGATACCTGGGAAGTAAACAGCAGCTTAAAATCTCAGTGCAGGAAGCAAATTAGAAACCTGGCGCAGATCTGAAATAAATAAAGCAAGGTTACAAAGCTGTGTATATTAACATATAGTATACACTTAGATTCATTGTAACATAAAATAATTGCATTGCTTTTACTACAGGGGCTTGTTAACTAGGACAGTACATGAAGAAAGCAAGAAAGATAGCAAACGTTCAAATAAAGCTCTGCATCTGGCAAAATAAACAACAGTTTAAACATTTATGACGCTACATGCAAACCATGCATTAATAGCGTAAAACTGGTCAGCTGCTTGAGCTATAATGAAGTTTTCAGAATTTGAGGCAGCATTTCCACAATTGCTTGTTTATCCTAAACTGTTTATATGTAAGGAAAGGATTGGTCTCCTTGAACTCCAAATTAAAAAGTGGAATTCCACAACAAGCTCTAAGCAGACATCAGCTTTCCTGGCCCTGAGTATGACATCATGGATGGGGCCGGGCATTCCTCCCTTCCCTGCCCTCCCAAAAACAGCCAGTATCTCAAGATAGACATTTCACATCAGATGGCAGAAATCATGCAAGATTTCATGATGATGCCAGAATGGCATCATCTTGAAATTTTAGCAGCTGTGTGTGATTTTGAATGAATTTTAACTTTACTAGGGAAGTAGATTATTCTTGGATATCTATGGAGTCCTTGGGGTTCTCTGAGCTTGGTTCTTTTCTTGCAAAGATTTCATTACCCAGCTA